ATTAAACAAATATTAATACTTAAGCAAATATTTAAACAAAATCTTGAACCAATCATTACAAATCAGAGAAAAAATGATAGTTCATGAATTTAATATATTGAGAAAGGTATATATATATATATATATATATATATATAAATAAATAAATGTAGATTTGAGCCAGAAATTAAAAAAAAGAAAAAATAAGAAATATTAAAATGTATTAATTCACAAAGAATCCAAGTTTGTTTATATTATCGCGTCAATATTACTAATTTTATATAAATTTCGGTAATTTTAGTAGAATTGTTGACAGAATTCAACTTTCTATTCTGTTGTTGTTGTTGTTGTAACGGCAGAATTCTGCCGAGTTGACAGTCCTTGGCCGGATAAAAATCCGGGTCCGTTCCGGTTTTCGTTGACCCGACTGTCGTGGGAACGTAATTTTCTCTTCTAAGGACAGTTGGTACATAGGTTTTTTTAGTTTTGAAGGAATATCTGCAAAGAGAATAGTGCGCTATTCCAATAATATGCAAATAAGAAATTTATTTTAACTTCGGTGACCCGAACTTGCCTTCTAATCATCGTTGCTAATTTTTAAATTTAAAAAACTTAGCACTAAAAATTTTGTATTCTCAGTTATACACTTATGATTAAGTATTTTAATCCAATATTTTTAATTAAGATTTTCGGGATTACAAAATGTAAAAAAAAATTCCATCAGTTATGGTTTTCCTTCTTCAAGAACTGAAAGTCACAGCAACCTTTAAATATCTTCAATTAAAATACATTTAACATTGTTTATATTTCCATTGTTACAATAATAACGCATTAAGTATTACGTTCAAATTAAATTATTTATTTGTGTACCATAATAAAATTTAATATCAAAATTATATCGGAAATTTCGGCATATATAAATCTTTACAAACATCTCGTCACTAGTTGAATGTCTTAACTTTTAAAATTTGGTAATGAAACAAGATTTTAAGCGCAATCCATAATTTGTATATCGAATAAAGGATCAAAAATATCTCAGAGCTTTTCATGATTTAAAATCTTTACGAAAAACTCGTCATCAATTGAACCCCGCACTCTTTATAGCAACTATGGTTGAAACTTGAATACATTGTAAATAAGTTTGTGTACAAAAGATGAGTTTTATTGATCAACTTCAAGAATTTCCGCATTGGGTTGAAGACACGCATCTCGTTCTTTGGCGCGCTTAACACTGCCAACAATCCATGCTTGTTGCTCTTTATTGCTCAACATAAAGAACTCCTCGCAAAATGCTTTAGCATTGTCGGCTGATAAGCATATTAATAAGCCACCAGAAGTTTCCACTGCTTTGCCACTTTTTAGCTTAAGATCTTGTCCCAGTATTTCACCAATTGTTACTACATTCGCTATAATCGGCAATTTATTTAATACAAAAGATAATTTATCTTTCTGGAAACAAGCGAGATTCTTTGCATGTCCGAGCAAACCAAAACCAGTCACATCAGTGGCAGCATGTGCTTTATATTTGTGCATAAGTTGAGCGGCAATCTTGTTGAGGAATGTCATTGACTTAACAGCGTTGTTGAAAGTTTTCCTAATGTCATTATCACTCAAACGTGCAGATATTTTAAGATATTTCTCATTTTTCTCCTCCATCCAAATATAGGCGTTGGTAGCTAGTTGTGTACCGAGTGGTTTAGTTAATATAATGGCATCACCATCTACAGCATTTGAGGGCATAATAATTTCTGCTTCAGTACAAAGTGAGCTAGCTATGCCGCCTATTATGCACCAAGGATTGTAAGAAACACTCTGCACATGTACACGAATTCCGACCTCCTTTGCCGATTCGAGAAATCCCTCAACTATTTGTGGTACGATAACATCCCTTTCCAATTCTGAAAATTCTGTTGAAACGCTAACAAGCATATTCAGTTTATCAAATGTCGTGACACCCACCGCATACATGTCGCTTACAACATTGGCTAAAGCTATTTTGCCCATTATTTTGGGATCATTAATTAATGGATAGAAAAAGTCAACAGTTTGAACGAGAAAATAGTTTTTGTGGCGAGCCAAAGGTATAACAGCACAATCCATTCCAGAACCAATAAATCCATCCTTATCCTTTTTGTTTTCATCGTGAGCAACTTTATGTAAAATGTCTGTTTCCTGTAGATACCTTAGGAGTACCGCTTCAGGCAACTTACATCCTCACCCTCTTAAAGTCGAGAAATTGGTGAGTCGAAAGTCTTTAGAAAGACCGTGATCAGTAGAATTAAACATTTTTTGATGTTTTCACGTGGTAACAGCTTAATGCAAACTTTAAAAAATATAAGGTTAAGGCGTTTACTTATTTTATTACTAGATTTGTTTGCATATGTTATATGATTTTAAATAATCTATTGTGATCGGTGTAATGTGCATTCTCAGTGATGTTAAGTTTGTTCGTCGTAGTAATTTAGGGATACATTTAATCGTAAACAACTCACAACAGCTCCAAGTAATATTTTCGGAGAAATGTTAATTTTCTTTTATACGGCGATGTTAAAGTCTGTATAATAAAAAAAATATTATGGAGATTCATTTAATAACAAATGCAGTAGTGTAGTTTTCAAATTTTCCGTCCCAAACTGCGTGGATGCTGTTATCAAGAGCCATTACAAATGTAGGTGTACACAGTCTGAATAACAATCAAGTAATTGAATAGTGTTGTTTATTGTGTAGGCCCATATAAAGTAATACCTTTACAATTGATAAACACATATTTATTTAATGTTAGAGAAATATTTTTATCAATTAAAATTTAATTTTCTTAATTTTGTTTGAAAATACAACTGTGGCTGAATTATTCGTTATATGGATTCGTTCTTCCGCATTCGTTATTTTTTCATTGTGCAAGTTTTCAACTGACAGTTCTTCATTCATTCYGATTTTGGAGTAAATTGAAAGTTAGTTTTTATTAAATTCGTCTCATTTATTAATCAAAGTTTTGATCAAATTCGTTGTTTTGGAGGTAAGGTAATAAAACTTAGTTTTTTAAAGTATTGAAAGGAAAATACTTAATAGTGCAATGTAAAGATAAAATAATTGATAACAACGATGCTGCATTACACTGTCGGTGTCGCGAATTATTAAAATAAAATTGTCGGCTATAAATATTTTCWTACATTGGAAACGATATASAATTGTTTATCATCCTATTTATTGTTTTCTCCACTTTCACTCTGTTCATCACAATACATACCTATGCTTCGATAGCCGCCATCGCGGTAAGTATGTATTTGCTTTTATCTCTTGTCACGGATTCGCTCGATAAGTTTTTTGTTGTTACATTCTCATATTTGCCGTCTTGGTATATTTATGACTCGCTACATATGTACCAACATAGGTAAAGTAGCGAGTAAACAGGCAATAAAACAGTTCAATGGCTGCGCAGTTAGCAGCGCAGTTGACGTAATATAAGCTGCATGGGAAAATCGACATTGTCGGCACAAGCCGTAATAGAGATGCAAACCAAAAATATACATCGATGTTTTTTCCGTTATGATGCATCAAAATGTTGCRTCGATGCATTTCGAGTGTTGCTGTAAATATCATGCAATATTAGGACTTCAACATCTTATTAATTATAATTCGATACTGTTTTCTAAAAAATTTTAAATACATATAAATCATATCTATTAGAACTTATTGATATTTTTAATTACATTACATAAACATTTTTATTATTTTCAGAAAAAAATTAAATTTGGGGCAGTTGAAGAAAAGTTACGGCTGTTCTGAAATGTGTGAAAATAATGAAGAAATTCGCTATATTTTGAAATTTTTATTTAAAGATGGGAAGAATGCCACGCAAGCCACCAATGCAATTTGTGAGGTTTACGGAGACGATGCTGTATCAGTTCGTGTAGCACAACAATGGTTCGCTCGCTTCCGTTCGGGAAATTTCGTTGTTAGAGATGCACCTCGCTCTGGTCGACCAATCGTTGAAAAAGTCGATGAAATTATGGAAAAGATTGACCWGGACCGTCACATAAGCAGCCATGACATCGCTAAGGAACTTAACATTCATTATCAAACGGTTTTGAACCATTTAAAAAAGGCTGGCTACAAAAAGATGCTCGATGTTTGGGTACCACAGGAATTGTCTGTAAAAAATTTAATGGACCGAATTAATATCTGTGATTCTTTGCTGAAACGAAATGAAATCGAACCATTTCTGAAGCGAATGGTAACAGGGGACGAAAAGTGGATAAAATACAATAATATGCGAAAGAGATCATGGTCTAAGCGTGATGAAGCTCAAGAAATGTATGCAAAACCAGTGTTGACGCCTCGGAAGGTTATGCTGAGTGTTTGGTGGGATTGGAAAGGAATAATTCACTATGAGCTACTAGAGCCTGATCGAACGATTGATTCTACATTTTACTGTCAACAACTGATGAGATTGAAGCAAGCAGTCGAAATTAAACGGCCAGAACTGATGAACAGAATCGTCTTCCATCAGGACAACGCTCGACCATACACCTCTTTGATGACTCGGCAAACACTGGGAGAGCTTGGCTGGGAAGTTTTGATGCATCCACCATATAGTCCTGACCTTTCACCATCAGACTACCATTTGTTTCGGCCAATGCAGAACTCCCTTAATGGAGTGAATTTGGATTCAAGAGAAGCCTGTGAAAATTACCTGAAGCAGTTTTTTACCGAGAAACCAGAAAAGTTTTACACTGATGGAATAATGTCTCTACCAGAAAAATGGCAAAAAGTGGTAGACCAAAATGGTACATATTTGGTTCATTAAAGTTCATTATAAATATAAAAAAAAAAATTTTCATTAAGTTAAAGTTTGATTAGAAATACGAAAAGACTTTTTCGACTACCCTATATTTATATTTTAAAAATATAAATTATCTTATTTACTGCTAACTATATACTACAATATTCAGTGTTTTCGTTTTAGTTATGTTTGGTAAATTTACTTGATGTAATGTGAAAAATATGTATATATTATATAAAAAAATTAACTAGACATTTAACTTATTGTGTATTTTCATATAAGCTCTCTCACATCCGAGGCTGTTTTTTACTGTTCATTGGATGCTTTTTTTTTACGTGGCGGGTCCCAAACCCAGCACACAACACTGTGGAGGGGATATTTCGCCTTCTCACTTGCCTCGCCTTCAAATGGATGATCTTTGATTACCCAGAGGGCACTTGGTCAAAGACCGGAAGTCATGAGCTGTTGGAGCCATATGTATAATCGTTTCTGGCTCCTCCCTAGTGAATGTCGATTAGAGAACTTTTCTCATTTGCGTGAACTTCTTCATATGACTCCGCCAAAAATATAACAGCCATTCCAGAACAAAACAATCCATACAAACCTAAAAAAATATAACGTTAAAACTGTTTGTTTATTTCATTACTAGATTTGCTTGCACATGTTATTTACAATATGGTTTTCGAAATCTATTGTGATTGGTGTAATGTGCATTCTCAATGATCTTAAGTTGTGTCGTCGTAGTAACTTAGGGATACATATAATCGGAAACCCTTACAACAGCTTGATGTAATATTTGTACAAAAAACAAGCATTATTATAGGGTTGTGTCAGTTTCCATTTACTGGTAAATTTACTTTAGATTCGGTAATACTATTTTCAATTTTTCCGTCCCAAATCCACAAACGTGGATGCTGTTAACAAGAGCCGTTACAAATTTAGGTGTACACAGTCTGAATTGCAATCAACTAACTGAATAGAGTTGATAATTGTGTAGGCCCATATAAAGTAATACTTTTACAATTGATAAACTTAAAGAAAATACATATTTATTTAATGTTAAATTCGTTAGAAACATTTTTAATCAAGTAAAATTTRATTTTCTTAATTTTGTGCGTAAATACACCTCTGGCTGAATTACTCGTAATACGAATTCGTTACTTCCACATTCGTTATTTTTTCATTGTGCAAGTTTTCTACCGAGGCAAGCTTCTTGTACAAGTACAGTTCTTGAATAAATTCATTCCGATTTTGTAGTGAAGTGAAACAGTTAGTTTCTTATTGAATTCGTGAAATTTATTAATCAAACTTTTGATCAAATTCGTTGTGTTTTTAAGGTAAGTTAATAAAACTTAGTTTTTAAAAGGAGAATACTTAATAGTGTAATGGAAAGATAAAATAATTGACACTTTCAACGATGCTGAATTAAACTGTTGGTGTCGCGAATTTTGCATATATATAAGTATATTGGCGCCAAAATTAATTACTGATGCTTTCACCTTTTATATGATTTTTATTAATCTCTAAACAGTGAAGACGTACAGCGACGTGCGAATTTTTCTGTGAGCTCTTAAAATTAAATTTCAAGTTATAATTTTATTTGTGTTTTAAAATGGATAAAAAAAAAGGAGCAGAGAAGGTATTTCGCGTCCCAGCAGATCAACATACTTTTGAAACGGATTCATCTTTTACTTGTGCATCAGCAGCAAAGTTGAAGAGTTCAAGTGATAATGAAATTTTGGTGGATTATAATTTTGGTTATTGCTTATTAGAATTTTGTTTTGTGTTTTAATTTCTTTGCATTAATGATCATCTGTGCTACTTGTAAGCAAAAAATGTCATAGTAAAACAAACTATTCTTAATATATAATTAAAAATCTCACTCCAAATCAAATTAGTTCAGGTACTTTTATGAATGAACTAAAAATTGATTACAAAAGTGTTCAATTGAGTCCTTAGCTAACAAGAGTGAAAATTATTACATTATACAAATTTAAAATATACCCCAAATAAATTATAGAATAAATGCCCATTGTAAGCTGTAACGCAAATGGAGGTGATGTTTACTATTATATCACTTGGTTTATTTTATTCTTATTAAATTTTGGTACAAATATTCTCGTACATTGAAAAYGATATACAATTGTTTATCATCCTATTTATTGCTTTCTCCATTTTCCACTCTGTTCATCACAATGCATACCTGCGCTTCGGTAGAATTGCCGCCATCGCGGTAAGGCGTTTGTTTTCATCTTTTGGCCCGGCTTCGCTCGTTGAATTTTTTTATTGCATATGTGTTACTTTCTCATATTTGCCATCATCATAGATTTATATATGTATGACTTGCTACCTATGTACCGACATAGGTAAAGTAGCGAGTAAACAGGCAATAAAACAGTTCAGTGGCTGCGCAGTTAGCAGCGCAGTTGACGCAATATAAACTGCAAGGGAAAATCGACATTGTCGGCACAAGCCATAGTACAGTTGAAATCAAGGATTGCAGAAGAAAGGTTTACTTAGTTCTAACTCTGGTGAGAAATTGAAAAATATTTAATTGTTTAATATATTACTGTTAACTGCAAGTAAATAAATGCTTAGTGAAAAATATTAATCAATTAGTGAGTGTTGTACATTTTAAAAATTGACATACGTAATGTGTGTATCTAAGAAGCTGTTTGCAATTAAAGTAATTTTGAAATCCCGCGCTATTTGTATGCTTCTTAACTTGATGAAATTGTACATCAAATAAAAAGTCGATTCAACGCATGGCAGTAGAATGTTGGTCTTTTATAATGTTGCTGTAAATATTATATATGCAGAATAATGCTAGATTAGGACTTCAACTACTTATTAACTATAATTCGCATAATTTCTATTAGAAATTATAGTTGTTTTTAAATACATTACATAAATATTTTTTATTATTTTCAGACGCAAGCTTTTGAGTTGTATTGCTAATTCATACATCACCTAAAGTAAAAAAAAAAACAGTAAATATGTCTGATAAACCAAAGCGTCCTCTATCCGCATACATGCTATGGCTAAACAGTGCACGCGAACAAATTAAGCGCGAAAACCCCGGTATTAAAGTGACTGAAGTCGCGAAAAAGGGCGGAGAATTATGGCGTGCAATGAAGGACAAATCGGTGCGTTGTAATAAAATTCCAGAAATAGAGAATCTTAAAATTAACTTGTTCTTTTTATTAATTATACCTTAATAGGAATGGGAAGCAAAGGCTGCAAAGGCCAAGGAGAATTACGAAGATGCTGTAAGAGAATTTGAAGCGAATGGCGGTAGCTCTGCAAATGGCACCACCAAGAAGCGTGGTAAGGCGGCGAAAAAACCCGCCAAAAAGAGCAAGAAGGCTGAATCTGAAGACGATGATGATGATGAGGACGAAGAAAGCGATTAATTTTAGATGATATACTAAATAAATCATAAACACATCTTTTCAATATACAGTAAAAAGAAGACCAGCTTGCCCATCTGTAACCATATCTATATATTCACACAATACATCTATATTCATATAGTATATGTCGTAAAAAAGTTGATTTTTTTTAAACAAGTTTGCACAAAATTTCAAGTACATGAAAAACAAAAAGAAATTCATGATATAAAAAGTCTTTAGTTGTAGTAAAAGTCATATGCAAAGTAATGTAAAATAAACTTAAATAAAAAAACTTATTACATGGAAAAAGAGCCATTATTACACTAAATAAGAGGTCGTTGAAGCCGTGAAGAAAAAATAAAAAGTCGAATATATATAACTGCATTTATTTACATATACATTAGTGTAGGTGTAACGAGAAAGGTTGTATTAATGCGAAAGGGTTTTTACTTGAAGAAAGTAAATTTTTATCTTTGTGTTCAATATTGTCAACCATTCAAAACAAAAAAAAAAATTTAAGCTGAAGTCCTCATATAATATAAGCCAAAAATAACTAATGTACCAATAATTGCACTAAAGGTACGAATTGTACGGAAACATTTCTTTTTTAAATTTTATTATTCAATATTGTACTAATTGTTTCACACAAAAACGAGTTATATAAACCCAATCGAAAAATGTTGAAGGAAATAAAACGTAATAATTTATTTATTGGAACGATTTATAATCCCTTAATAAAGAATTTTTGATTAGAAATAGTTTTGGACCCCTTGAGAGACGTGTCTCGCGTCCCCGCACTTTTATTAAATAAAGAAGTTAACAGACAGCGTGCTTCATATTTTTTTTTAACTAGTTTCATTTCTTCTTTCAGATTTAACATATTTAACAATAATATGGCATTAGAGTAGRAATCATAGTAATGAAAATTTATAAATAGAAATATACGAATATAAATACTTGTAAAATTAAATCAGCGTTGTAGTATGTTTTTAAAATCCAAATAAAGAAAAAATATCAGAAATAAATCACGTTAAATATTTTTTTTTACTATTCTTATTTGATATTAACGATATTTTATGTAAATGTTTTGATATCATGGACAAATATCGAAATAACTAAAATATTTAATTCAGCAAAGACATGTATCATATATATTATTTTCTTCTCTTTGCATTTAAATATTTTTATTTTACTTCGATATAAGCGCATATTAACAATATTAATATTGAAATAATTTATGCTAAAACATCAAATGTTCGTGGGTTTATCAGTTTAAATTCAAATACACACTTTCTCGATTGCTACAAATACGAAAATAAAGACGAAATAAAAAGAAAACATTGTTATAATATAGGTATTAGCAGTAGCGCTACTTACAATACCGCCCCCAACCAATAACATTTTTTTCGTAATTCTCGAACCCCAAACATTTTTGGCGAATAACAAAATTCCATTAAGATACGTCGTTTCTTTYTGCGCTTACTAATGCTCCTTGTATGCATGCGACTATTTATGTAATATAAAATTCAATTACGATTTAGCCAGAAGACAGCCTTCAAAACGAAATACGCTAAGCCTAAACAATAGACGATTTTTTCGCGTTGCAGGCGCTGTTCATTACTGATTTCAATGTTCAATACGCGACGATTAAGTTTGGCTAATTGCCGACGCAAATAGAGGATCTCTTCATGTGGTGTAAGCTCTCCCATTGGTGTACCTTCGCGATGGCTGACAATTGATGCATCGTGGTTATTGTATACTAATTGTTGCGAACGCTTGCTGGCACCACCCGTGGTCAACTGAAACATAATAACCAAAAAATTATACATATATATTAAATGAACCAAACTAAATTTTGCTTAAAGCACCAGCAAATCTTTTAAAGGGATTGTTTTCAAAGCATTTAGCATTTTACAAATTTTAGTTTACAGTATGGCAAATATGTAGAMAAATTTCTTCTTAGCAAAATAAATTGAAAAGCTGGGATTGTGTTTAATTTTCACAATGAATTTGATTGAAATTTTGTGTTAGACAGTTTTGAGTGTGAATATTCTTAACAAGTTTTTTTCCGTGAAAATATTATTAAGAGAATTATGTTTTTTAAAAGAAGAAGTAACGTTATCTTTTGTTGCACTGAAACTCGAATACCCTTCACAAATAAAAAGTTTCCAAACTAAAACTTGATCATCAAAACATAATCAGTCTGTTTATGTGAGAACTATTTGCTTGGTGGTCCGATATGAAAAATTTGTTCGGAGATTAWACCAGTATTAAAATGATATCACACTTCAAATATAATTATATATTTATACTATATAAAGCGTTTGTGAAACGGTTGTTGATTTACCCATATTACATTACAAATAATGCTTATTTTTTAAGCAAACTTACTTGTGAGTCAGATTCCACAGAATTAGARTCAGTGGGATGAAATCCGACTTGCGCATGGCCTATACCATTAGCGCGTACATAAGGAGGAGGACGTGTATCATCGTCGTCATCGTAATCGCCATCTTCATAGTCGGCTCCGTCGTCATATCGATGTGGTGAACACTCCTCAGAAGCAGACGGAAAATGGTGTTCATTCAATGTAATAACACGAGGTGGTGTCTGTACACGCATCATGCTCTCCGTTGGATTTTTTGGTAGAATTGAGTTTTCCAGTTGTATTTCTCGTGGTGCAGAGCGTGTCTCGAGATGTTGATTATGACCTAATACCACTATACGATCTGGTACGTTCATGTCAATTTTATCGTGATAATTCCATGAATTAATTAAACCATTTTGATTTGATAAGAGTAAATCTTCGTCAGAGAATTCTCCTGTTGCTTTAATGCGCTTCGGAACACGCATTTTGTCATTTATTTCATGTGCAAATTTAGCTTCTTTATAAATATCTTCATCCAAACCATTGAACATGCGGGTTGGCGATTGTGGTGTAGCCATTCTCAATAATGAGTAAACGTTTCTTTTCTTGGCAGGTTTTCCTTTGGTAAAGTTTCTGCYTGACACTCAAAGTTGTGTTGGTGTTTTTTCCCCCCCAAGATTATGTCACAATATGGGTCGTCGACACTGTACACAATTTATGACTATGTTGGATATTGTTTTCTGCAGCGGTGTTAGCAAATTTTACAGCAGCACAGACGGCAGACAGGAAGTAAACTTAAGTGGAATGTTTGTAAAAACAAAGAAAATTTTTGGTTTGACGGAAGAAACGGAAAATTTTTAGATTAACTACTGCAACAAATAATATTTTWATGTATTGAATTTTACTTTTTCTTGCTTACTTTCCGATTCTGTTGGAACAAAAAATATTAGGAAAACGATTCAATAATTTTCCAAATTTTCCTCTACTCCTGTTTTTGTTCTTTATTGCAATTGCGTGTATATTTTCTCAACTTACGAAATGCAATTATCTGACAGCACTAACAAGTTGCCAGGACTAAAAAATATTATATACTTTTTTAATAATTTGATTTATTAGAACTAAACTGTTAATAATAAGTATTTTATTAGTGAGTTAATGTATGATTACATAAAATTATGTAAAATTAATAGCAAAAATTTATTGTAACTACATATTTCCACCCATTTAACAAAATTAGATGATCTTTGTTAAAAAGTACATTAATTTTGCTGTTATTCAACACTAGTAATCCTAGAACTTTTCAGCTGCCTTTTTTGTTTGTTTCATTCACACACAAATGTTTCTTTCCACCACTAACCCCCCTGAAGATGCATTTTCTCTTTTCCTTTTATATACTCTTCCTTTTCGACGCTTACATATATTCATTTATTACAAAAGTCTAAGCGGCATCATTTTTGTGGCAAAATAATTTTAAATTCAAATTATTTGTTAAATTCTTAATGCATATTGRCCTTATTTCTTAACTGTGTGTTTAACGAATTTACTGTTAGGTAAATATATATTTTAGTTTTCGACCACTGTTTAGCGAATAAAAATACCTCGGCAGGGCCACAATACTACAATCATAAAAATAAATGTACAGTAACGTCGCCGTCGATTTTGTGTTGCGCGCGAAAGAAAATTGTGGTAGACAATCAGATAAATTCCAATTCAACTTGATAATTTGGATAATTTTTGTTTCGTATATTATTTTTAGAAAAAAAAAAATACAGTGATTGCGAAGTATAAATTTATGAAAAATGGAAGGACGGCGTACTCGAGGGCGCCCAAAACGCAAAGACGTTTCGGTAACGTTAGCAGCAACTGAAAAACCGAGCACAACAAGTACACATGTAAATGTGCCTACCAAGCGCAGCACGACTAAAACAAATGTCTCACCGGCAAGACGTGCATCGCCTGGGCGCACACGCCGCTCTTCACGTCCACGAACATCAATTGTGTCGTCAGCACCATCCACAACAACAATTTTGATAAGATCCTCTCCAGAAGCAAATCCTTCCCCCATTAAGGAGTTGAAAGAGGTAAGTTAAAAAAAAAAGTTTGTAAAAAATAAAATTATTTGTTATGTAATTAGACGCCGTCACCTAAAACAACAACATCCAAAACACGTATACCAAGTATAGTTGGTTCGAATCTGAATACWGGCGGTAGAAGCTCACCGCGCTTTGCAGCAAAGTCTACATCTTCTATACACAGCACCTATAGCAGTAGTAGCACTCAAAAAACTATTGAAATACGTTCAACAACATCTGCTTTGGATACTGAATTCCAAAAATTATCGGATTACATACGTCGATCTGTATCAAARGCCATTGATGGAGATAAGCGTGAAGGTACGCATACGCCAACAACAAACACTGAACTTGAAAGTCGATATAGCCGATCTGTATCACGTTCTATCTTCGATGATGGCGCTTCTTCTAAGGCAGAGTTTTCTGATAATGAAACAAATGGACGCACTGGTGAAGATGATGAAGAGGAAGAAGAAGAAATCGAGGAATACAAAAGTTTCAATGTTACCAGCCCGCATTCMTACTCTACTTCAGCAATTGGGAAAAACTGTCGTCAGTTAGAGATACCAASAGAATTTGGTGGTTGGATAGGAGCAACTCTTTTATTGACAGTTGGGCCATGTTTAGTGTATTATTTGCAATGGTGTTGCCAGAAAAATATTTGTGAGTTGAGAATGCCCTATACAGATATCTACTCGGTAAAAATGGACGATATTTGGAATTCGATTTTCTACGGTGAAGCTGTAATTGCATTTCTTATATTCAATGTGGGGGTAATCATATTATCGATACTGCTATGTGGAAGATACGTGTACTTGCCCACTGAACGCACCAGTCCATATTATCGACTTGAATATACGTTTAATGGATTGCCTATAGCGATAATAATTACATTGGCCCTTGGTTATATCCAAATTATAAACAAGGGTGTTATTGATTTCCTGCTATATCATCAACTACAATTTTGCGTTTACAGTTTTATAAATGCTTTTATTTTGGGATTTTGGGCTTACTTACGCTCTTTGGCAGTAGTAGGACGCGCAAATCGTGTACACGGAAATCTATATGGAAGAACCGGCAACTTTTTGGTGGATTACGCGCTAGGCAGACAAGTAAATCCAAAATGGTTAGATTTTATCGATTTCAAATTGGTTTTTTACCGTATGACTTTGCTTATGACACTGGTCTATGTGGAATGTTACTTAATAAAAATAGTAACGTTGCCTGACAATCCGCCTAGTGAAGATGGCATGTGGAGCGTGGTTATGTACTATTACAATAACACACGTTATGATAGCGCTGCTCTACTTACATCAGGTATGCTGTTAGTATATATTTGGGATGCTTTAATATTCGAGCATCATTTGGCCTCGTCATTTGAACTGCAAAGTGAAGGTTTCGGTGCATTGTTATTGCTACGTTATGGCGCTACGCCACACTTGCTGACATCTGTAGCACGGTACTTCTTTGAGCAACAACTTGGTCGTAATGWGCAAATGTCAACACCACTGGCTTGTTGTTTTGCCGCTTTTATACCAATTTCATTACTAATCACCGGTTTAGTGCTTAAACGTATAAGTAGTGCGGTCAAATATAAATATCGTGTAAACCCCAAAAATCCTTACTTTGACGGCACCGAAACTATACACACTTATCAGGGAAGACGTCTTTTACTCGGCCCGTTATGGGGTCGTCTACGTCATCCTAATTATGCGGGCGAATTAGTAGCGCTCTGTGCGTTGGCTATACCTTTGTTTGTGCGCTTTGCTTGGCCGCCACTYATTTGCATATTGCTCCTATGCATAGTGTTGTTGCATCGCACACAACGGCTACAAGCGCGCAATATGTCGCGTTATCATTCATCGTGGGTACGCTACTGTAACAAAGCGCGCTACTACATACTGCCGAAAGTCTATTGAGCGGTTAACTATAAGTATATATGCATAGATGGTGCAATGAGATTGCAAACAGGCAAATATTTACCCTAAGTTTAGTTTATAATACATTTATATAAAAATTATTTTAGTACAAAATTATAAATATAAAAAAATTTTAATTTGTCCCTTAGTTTAGTTTGTTTGTACTGACTATTATATGTATGCACTTATTAGAAAGTACTGTCTTTAAAAAATGTGRCATAATTAAGACGCGTGAAAAATCTAGTTTATATGATGTTCGTAATTATTATCATATTTTTTGTCAATAATTTAACTTTTGCATTTGTATATAAACCAAACTTGCATGATTTTGTGAACAACACAACACAACAAAAGCAWTTTTATGTGAAAGAGTTCATATTTTTGTATTGTCAACGACAACAGAAAATAATTTTAAAACTAAGTATATACAAAAAAGCAAGGTAATCCTTTGCAATAGCTCAAATGCAATATAATAATGATGTCAATATATAAATTTTATGCGGTCAGGAAAATCGAGTGTGTATACCGAAAGGCGGAAGAAGTATTTTTCAGCCTATTGCATATATTGACTTTTCTGTGGGCATTTAACTGGTAACTCTCTGCTCTAAGTGAATAGTTGATAAAATGGGAACGAAAAGCTCTTAATACGCCTTGCTGTACACTTCGATTTTTCAAACGCATTAATTCATAACACACGTACATACGATAAGTAATTTAGGTCACAAATGTGTGAGTAGGAATTATTTAAACCATACTGTCTTGATAGTTCGGTTGACGATATGATATTCATTGACCTAATTACCCTCTACACATACATGTGTATTTTATATAAAATATTCGTGATTTTCTCTTATAAAATTTAATTTTAAATTAGTTTTACTTTGTCTTAGCAGACTCGTACAAATCCGCGGTAATAATATATAATGTAACAATCAAAACATATAAAATATTTTGTTTTAATTTGGACTTGCATTTAAAATAAATAGTACTTCTGCAGAGTTATAAAATACCGCAACTAGCGCAGCGAATTTATTTATATTAAAATTTTTTTGAGAGAAAATTGGATTTCGATTCTGATATTAAATGAAACCAAAATTGGAATTTCAAAACTTAAATATTTAATTTTAGATCCCAATCGCGGTATGAATTTTTTGGTGAAATTTTTATTTTTTAATTTAATAATAAATATTCCAATTTTAATTCCGGTATTTATGATTAAMAATTATTTTTAATTAATATTTTCGGATCTACAAAATAATTTTTTTTCAATGCTAATTTGCAAGCCTGATTGTAAACTATAAACATGCAGACGATTTTGAATGGAAATACCTTTAATTATGTTTGCTTCAAAACATATTCGCAAAAAAAAAACCATTTGTCTTGGTGTTTGAATATTTTATTTGTAAGTTTTTTTATTTCAAAAGGACTCCATCCATTTTAAAGTTGCACTTAACGATTCGAAACAACCACTAAATTTAGTTTCCAAATACAAACAGCGATAAATAACATAATTTACAAAATATTAAAAAATAGCATATCATTTACTTTAAATTTTACTTCTGCATAGTAATTTGAGCATTTTCAAGCTTAAATATGTATATGTAAAATCTATTTTAGCGCAGACCACTTTACGGCTCTGCCAACCCAGTTGGTCAATAACGTACCCAATTAAATTAGCAAAGTTATTATATAAATTAAATACTAGGCCTAACGTTACACCTACAACTATTGTCTATTTCAGCAACTATATGTGATATGGCTTATATATTTACATAGCTATAACTTACTACATAAGAAATATTGAGAATATAACATACAGGTAGGTAGTGTATAGCACTACTTAGATCAAACTGGGAAACAAATCGTTAAAACTACCCTGCCAGCCGAAATCTTCAACACTCGCGTCGAACTGTTCTGTCGCTGTAGATGTTGGTGAACCAATAATCGATTCATAACCATGATCTGATGCGGTTGAATGTAATGACGGCGCAGGTGACTTCGCTAACGGACGTTTAGGTCGCAAGAATCGCTCTATGGGATCGAAATTAAAGTCATCGTCCGAATCATCGACAACATTGAGAAAAACATGTGAGGGTGTGGTTGCGGGTGTTGGATATTTTATTTCGTCACCCATTTGCGGTGTTACACCATCACAGTATATTTCTTCGACGGCCTCATTTACTGGCACCGCATCATCATCCATTACAATTGTTATAGAATTTGTTTTGGCATCGTATGTACCATACACCGTGTCCGGTGGTATTGTGTGAATATCAGATGCTTGTTGTATTCTAAATATTTCATTGTCTGTAGTTATTGCAGGCGTTGTTGTTGTTGCTGATGCAATTGTAGGATTACTATTTGGCATAGTCTTTAATTCATCATCTATCGCTGTTGGTGATTTATTTTGTAAACGTTTTGCATCATTTTTTCTGGATGATGTCCATGTTGTATCATTTAAGCTGACACTTTGTGTGTTTGTATATTGGCTGGGTTCCAAGCACTCTGTTTTGGCCCCCACCACTGATCCAAGCAGTCGCTCTGCGTTGCTTGCAACTTTGGCAACATTTTCATTGCACGCTCCATCACCAGCTTCCATGTCTGCTGCGATATCGGCCAAGAGGCTTTCGGCAAGCTCTTCCAATTTGCTCGCGTCGAATTCTTCGTCGACGAGGAGCATATCTTGAAGAGTAGGCAAAGTGCAATAATCCTCCACAGTGACGCTACCGAGTTGCTCTTTTTCAGTTGTTCTTCTGTCGACTGCAAGTCCATTTGAGTTGATCCCTGCTGCAGAGGGTCAGTATATATGGATACTGCAGATCCATTGAGTATGGACTCACAGCCGGCACAAGTTTCAACTGTAGTTTTAGCATTCAATTTGGCTGCATTACTGGCGAGTTGCTCTTGTTGTTTCTTCTGTTGTTGTTGCACTTCATTAAGTTTTTGACGCAGAAGTTCCACTTCCATATCCAATTTGCGATTTTTCTCAAGAAGTGATTCATTGATGGCTTGTAAGCTTTCACATTTATTTTGCAGAATTTCTGTTTTTTGTGTCAGTTCATCAATTTCATGTTCCATGTCTTCCATACGTGCTTTCTTACGGTCGCGTGATGTTTGTGCGGCTACACGATTTTTCAATTTTCTGCAATTATTTTTTTTATACATTAAAAAAGTGATCATAATTTAAAAAATAAAACCTAGACTCACTTTCTTTGAATTTTCTCTTCCCAAGTTAGGTGGTCAAGGCGACGCTTCTTGCCCCTGGGCGCTGAAGCACCATCCTCAACCACCGCATTGGCATTAATTGTTCCTTGCGATGACGTGGTCAATGGTGCTGGCCTTATCTTTGGCAATGTTATGGTTGGGGTGTGTGATATAGCCACGTACTTGGGCACAGTAATAAAAACGGCTGGTGCTGTGGCTGCCATAGTGTATTCCGTTTGAGTCCGCTTTACTTAAAGGTCCAACGAGTTCTCAACCAAATAAATTTTTCTGTATGGTCTTATCCGAAGTAATGTGATTTTCTAATGAGGCATTACAGCTTCGTCGACTTTAAATTGTAATTCCTTTTCTCTATTTCATGTTTACACTTTCGCTTATTATTTATGACTGACGTGTCTTTAGTAAATACTTTTATCCAATTTGTGTTTACGTTTATGTAGAGTTAGGTTCTGCTGCATTTCTCAAGCCTTGACTTTTTCTCCTGGACTTTACATGACAACGATATGGTACCTATAAAAAATTTTCGTGTTTCACTAATCGCTGTCGTGTTCAATTTGAACTGGTGATTTGTAATCTTTGTACTCGTAGTTTTTTTACACATTTTTTTTCACTTTCTGACTTGGTGTTTTCTGATTGGTCGTAGCAAATCGGTTTTGGACTTGATGATTCATTGGAGAAGGTATAATACGTTCTCTGATAATAACAAGAACAGGGTTGTATGAAGTAAAAAAATATGTACTATATTATAATAATTACAATTTTTATATATATTAAATTAATTAAAAATCATACCTCAAAATTAGTTGTGATTAGTTGTGTTAGTGATTTTAAGTATATCAGACCATATAGATTATAAATGTAATATATGCAAATATGTATACGTATATTTCTGTTGTGTGCTTTTAAATATTGAACATTTTACACCCTGTGATCAATAATAATATTTTTGATCTTCTACAATCTTTTCCAGGGTTGCATGCCTCTGTTTTCGGAAAACAAATTCCGAAAAAATGCGCTACGCGATTTTCGGAATAGTTTTTGTTTTGATTTTTGTCTTTATAAAATTCCTTAATCCGGAATTGAGTTATTTATATATACAATGAAATAATAGTGCCTGGAAGTGATAAAACAAATATATACTGTAAAAAYTACCTCAAATATGAAAGGTTATTCAATTTAATTATCTGAAACCACTTGTTTGTTACTAAAGCGTCTCTTCCAAGCAACATAAGTGTGTATGTGGAAATAGATGGTAAATTTATAAGAAAATTAAAGGAATGTTGGCAGAATAAATTTGTGTAGTTAAACATAAAGCGATACAAATAGAAGTTTTTTTATATAAACTATTTCGTGTAAGGATTAATTAATTATTGGTTAGCTTGTATAAGCGTTGCAGCTATTTTCTACATGCAATGTTATAGGAGAAGGGGATGATTGTGCGCGGGTGAAAATGTCTGACACAGGTGCACGCAAGTTAGCCAAGTGTAACATTACAGGTGGCCCGCATTTAAAATATTTTACAAATATGTACATATTTTTGGTCACAAGCAAAATATTTTGTTTTATATAAAAACTCTTAAATTGCTTCCAGAATTTAAACACAAAATGTTAAGTGAATTAAGAGATGAAAATTGTAAATTCCAATTAGAACRTATAACATAAAAATATATTTTGTTGAACTAACTATTAGTACGATTGGTAGCAACTAATCGTAGTTAATTGTTTTTTTAATTGTGTGAAAGGGYTTTTTGTGATAACTTTAAAAATAAGAACTAAATAAGGAACTTGGGTTCCAACATAAAATACCAAGACAACGTAACTTACTAATCCTGGTAAGTTCCGGATTTTTAATGATACTGTCTAGGCTACTAATACGGCGCTGAGACCCTTTATAGTTTGGTAAGTATCTTTAAGCGTAAAATTTCTTTGATTAGTTGTTACTATTTCATTATTAGTCGGCACTGTCAAGTTTGAAATTCTTAGTAATTGACCAATCGTATTAAATTAGCTGGCATTTGGGTCACTTTTGAAACACTCCTTTCAAGGAGCTCACCACCTATGTTTAGAGGCTTTTTGTAGCGCATATTTTACTATCAATTTCCCTTTGCTGAAGAAATTATCAGTCGTTCGACTGCAACAGCAACGAGTTGCTGGTAGAGAATTGAGGCGAACGGCAACATCAATGCTGGTTTCGAATGTTAGTTCGATTTGTTCGTCGTACCTGTTGGATGTGTTGTTCGGTGCGCTGCTTTTTAGTTTGCATTTCTTGCTGGAACCGGTGCTTCATTGAACAGCTATTTACATATTTATGCATGTGCTCGTATATATGTACATATAAATATTTTGTGTTTTTTCTGAAATGTGAATTGTAGGGTATAGTTTAAATTAGACTTTCCTGAGTCTAATGTCTATTGAAAAACATAAATATACATGCGTATATGTTTGCAAAAAAGTGGCCAAACAGCACTGCATATTTTTTACACTATTTGCCAAACGATTGACAGCAGCAAACAGGTGGAGTTGGTGGTGGAAACCGGCTAACAAACCGCTTGCGGAAAAGGTGTACAAAAGAAAGTCAAGTGCGTTTTAAAGTCTCGGTAGCGCGTGAGATCTTCACTGTTGTCATCGTAGACGCCATCGTCTGAGCCTATAGTTAAGTTGTAATCCGAGGCACTAGTAGTGATGTTGTGAAACTTCATATGGATTATACATACATACATACTTACATATGTGCACATAGTCCGGTCGTCGTCTAACGTGTTTGCCGATGTGTTGTTTTATTTTTAATTTTATTTTCGCAAAGATAAAACTATTGCAAATATTGCAGTAAGTACTTAGCTACACCTGCAGCATTATCACACAACCGTAGCTACCAATACACACTATCAATAACTTGTGGTCAGCTCAACTTTTAACAAGTAATTTCGCTTGCTGTTTATTATTGATCGATGTTGGCTTTTTGCATTTGTTGTGCATGTCACTTTAACGTTTCTTCTTTGTGACTTTCCTGCGTTTATAATTTCAATGTGTAGTGTTTTTTCGTGTTTATCGACTGGGCGACGATTTGTTGTGGAACGTGATTTAATCGCGTATGATTTTGATTTGTTGTGAGTGAAAATGGAAAGTGATGATCTTTCACCAGCTGCGGCTTCCCGTCCTTTACTGCGACAGCTGTATCAATAGCAGCATTACTGCTTGTGTAAATTTCAGTGCAGCGGTGTTAAATTAATTTTTCTTGATTTCTATGAATATATTTAGCTGCCATATATGATTATGTATATTTTGGTGCCAGTGTACTTGTTTGTCAATAAATAAACATGCAACATAAAGTAAATTCATATAAGAAAAAAACGTCATTCAAACCTGTCCATGTCAGTTGTTGGTAGCAAATGAAAGTGAATTTTAATTGAACATTTTGAGATAATAAATTGCTTAAAATTTAGAATAGCATCTCCGGATTTCCGCGCCGCGCTTCAAAAAAAAAAAAAAAAAATAACCCTGGTCGATCCAACATAATCATATGTATATGGCAAGTTCAGAGCTCTTTCGCGTAGAACTCCTTTATGCAACTTTTAACTATAAAGTTTTTGCTTAAATGCAGTGAATTTATCTAAAACATAATAATTAAAATAAAGCTTTATATTCAATAAATATTAAAAAAATTAATATACAGAAACGTTATAGTGAAGTGTTAAAACGTGAAAAGTGCATAATTTAAGTGCAAAAGTTATTCACAATATACAAATGATCAATTTTTTAGTTGTAAATTTTTTTACTTTAAATGCAAATATCTTTAAAACTGTATATATATTCGTGATCTGGAGAACGTCATCTTTCCAGTGATATCCATTTTATCCCCGAATACGTCGATGCTATTCTAAATCCCTGCCAATAAATTGTATGCATTAATAACATAAACGGCAATTAAAAGAAATTTGTTATTTGTATAAAAACAAATGAAAGTTTTATATGTTTAAGTTATAAAAGATTTATTGATTGCATCTACTCTCTAAATTGAGGTGATAAGAATAATGATACGATTTTTCACAACTCGATTTTTGTTGAAAGTTTCTTTTTAAATTATTTATGTTTTGTAAGTATTATGAAAATTAAAAGAAAAAAAAAAAAAAAAAATATTCATATTCTTTTATTCATATGGAATATAGGAAGTAATAGAGTAAATTAAAGTGTAGACAGGGACACATAACAAACTTGAAGAGACGTAGGCGGTCATGTCAAAAATGAAATCCTCATGTAGGCATCTAAAGTGTAAAATTTTAAGTTCACATGCTAAATATTGTAGCCATATACAAAGCACGTACATACATATGTGCATATGTATGCATGATACAATATAATGGCATTTAACTCATAACATAAATTGCTTCCCAGCACGCTACAGTAAATGCATTTTCTATGCAATTTGGTCTACTGCAATTTTCAATGTCTATTTTTCTTCATAAATAAAATTTACTGACATTACCTCTGATAATTTTTTTCTCATAACTTATTTTTTAATATGAAATTTTCGGCCATTTTTAATATGTCATGATCTGTAGTTTGAGGTTATAAACCAAAATGTAAGGGAGAACTTTTTGCAGCCTTTTCCGCCACACCAAATAAAAGTTAAATATGTATTTTAATAAGATAATTTAAAAAAATTTTAAGCAATTTGTTTCTATTGTTTTTTTAAGGAAAAAAATTAAACTTATTTTTTTCTTAAAAAAATACATTTGTCTTATAATGAAGTAAAATAAAATTAAATAAATATTTTCTTAGTTCCTTATCCTTATTTGTAAAGACTTGTTTCTATTATTTTTTCCAACATTGTATATACTTTATAGGATCTCAGAAGATTCCTTCTAGGTGTTTAACAAAAATTTTGGCAAAATTAATGTACGCTGTTCAGGGTTCAGGGTGTTCAAGTATATACGTAAACACATATGTACTTGTCTTTGTACATACATACATACATATGTGCATCTTTCGATATCTATGCAACCAAAAAATCCTTATCTATCTCTGACATTTGCATTTCATATGATTTAAGTGAAAAATTGGATTTCTAAGAATTTTTTCATGCGTAGCTCCCTCTGTTTGTTTACAAGCAGCAGGTCGCGGCATCTGTAGCTTTTAATTCTTTTTATCTTCAAATTCATGAACATACGTTATATTGCACAAGTTATGCGTCATAGCTGCTACATATATCCCAAATATACTTACACAATTACACACATACATTTGTGTCTGCTTGCCTTTGGCTACATACCTTTTATCTTGGTCACCACAATTTCTACGAAATTCTCACTCTTCTCTTTTCACGTAACTTTTATTCGCTTTTATACCCTTGCAACAAATTGCTATAGAGTATAATGGATTTGTTCACATAACGGTTGTACGTATCACCTAAAGCTAAGCGAGATAGACCGAGATAGATACATATGTGGTTATGTACATACATACATATATATAAATGATCAGGATTGTCTGTCTATCCATCCGTCCGTCTGTACAAGCTGTAACTTGAGTAAAAATTAAGATATCTTCATAAAGCTTGGTACACATGTTCCTTTGCAACTGATAGTGTGAAAATGTATTAAACCGGTTGAAAACTCCGCCCGCTCACCTTATAACAGTACTGTTAAAAACTACTAAAAAACGCGATAAATCAATAACTAATTAAGTCATGGGCATTGAATAAAAAAAAAGGTAAAATCACATATCTTAGGACCTTATCGACCGAAAAAAGTCTTGCGGTATTTTCGCTAGTTGGCGTTGAGAGCGCGTAGTTCTAGTTTTATTCGTCGCATCGGGTCATGCTATACCTTTTTGGAAAGCTCATTTCACGCGCTAGCACGAGTTTGTCGCGTCTTTTAAGTCGTTCGTAAGTTATAGCGACGCAAACATGGAACAAAATAAAGAGAAAATGCGGCATATTTTACAGTACTACTACGATAAAGGAAAAAAGGAATCTCAACCCGCCAATAAAATTATGTTTATGGACCCGATACAGTTTCCATTACCACCGCACAACGATGGTTTCAACGTTTTCGTTCTGGTGTAGAGGTGGTCGAAGATGCGCTACGCTCCGGAAGGCCTGTCGCCAAAAATTGCGATAAAATCGCTGAATTGGTCGAAAGAGACAGGCATAGTAGCATTGGTCAAGAGCTGGCATGAGTCATCAAAAAAAATTTTATGAACAATTGAAAATTCAATAAAAATACCGAAAGAAATACCGCAACACTTTTCTGGCAACCTATTATAACGGGATAAAGCTTTGTCGCAAAAATCCAAAAAAAACTGCTCAGCTCCTAAGGACTGAATATTTGGACTCCAGCATCTATAGTTGACTGACTGTTGATAATGACTTTTTACGACATTATCGGTCAATGTGTGATATACTATATAACTGAAAATACTGGAAACCCTTTTCCTGATAATGTGTTTAAAATGGCTTAAAACGTGTCAATACTTCCCTTACCTCCCATATATCTATGTTCGGTTGCACCCGAACATCGTACTTCCTTACTTGTTTTCATAACACACTTCGACCTGTACTATTAACTCCTAAATAATTTCATTCATAAAATTTGATTGCCTCGTCTTTGTGTAACATACATAGGTATGGTTTCATATATATTTTACCCTTAAAGTGTTGACGAGTTGATAGTCTTCGGACGAATATAAATCTCATCCGACCATTACGGCATGCTAATGCAAAAAAGACAGGCGATCAGAAATTCCGTTCAAACATCTAATACGTAAAGCTTTTTTGAACATACGTATTTAATAAATACGCATCTTATTTCTTTTATAATTTATAATGACCCTAATCTCATAATTGTATTTGAGTTATTTCTGCAAAAATTTCAATTTGTCACGCATWCATTTGCACAGTCTGATAATTCCACAAGATCTCTGTAAAATGTTAAATATTACCTGTACATAGATAGTAGTATATAATGTATGTTAGTCTTTAGAATATTACAAATGCATGATRTTTTTGCCCATAAATCCGGCCGTTTACGACGAATTACTTCACGTARACGCCTTTAAATAGCCAAGTAGTRTTGCATATTGACTGTTTGACTCTATGAAACTAAATCATTGCGAATCACACCACTTTAATCAAAGAAAACATGACGCTTGACGTTGATTTTTGACCGAATTTGACATGAAATCACCYTTTGCGACCTCAAACCGACGTTTTTTTCGCATACGATTCAGGGGTTTTCTTCCGAATCTAGCAATGACACGGTTCATGCTCAAAACATCAACCAAAATGTATTGAGTCGAATGTTTCTTTAACTTTTTCGATGTTAGCTTCTTTCAGGGGTTACAAACGCAAAAAATGGCCTATTTTCAACAAATTTTTCACATTAAAAATTAAGTATTTTACTAAAATTTTTTGTTATGCTAAACACATATTTTACAAAGATTTGGAGCAATTTTCTAAACTCGGCCAAATAGTTCGCGAGAGATCGTAACAAAAGACTTTGAAAACAAAGTTTCGAGATTCTTTAAAAACTTTCAAAATGGGCTCATCGCGCGATTTCCAAGCCTTGAGAGCCGAGGTGCATGGTGCTTGGATCCCCTCTGTCGTCTCAAAATACTTGCCTTTCCTCGGACTTTTCGTAAAATTTGGCGTTGACGGTTTATCCAGGAGGAACAAATTCATGGGGGACTATGCCTTTGATGTAAAAAAAGATAATGAGCATTGTTATCACTTTGGATTTGATCMTTCTTCCGTCTTTTGGGAAATCAACACCTTCGTAAGCCKGTTTGATCATATCAAACGTCTCTGTCACAGCTCTAATGAACGCTGCCTTTTCTTCTTGCACCACTCACAGAAACACGTCGTKCGAAAATGTTTTTACTGACTTTCCAGGTGCTCGGAGACAACTGACCAGCTGCTCGTTCGGTGCGCGCACGGCGGAAGAAAATCAGTCGTATTACTTTTCGGACAAACCCTGTAGGTTACCTCGAGCGCGCAGCTTTTCAAGGCTGTATCTGTAAAACTATTACTTGGATCAACTTGAGACCTTTTTTTGAAGCCGTGAAACCCATGTAACCCCTTAAAATAAATTAACAAAGGCAAGTTTTGGATGGTTTGTGCTAAAGTAGGCTCCCCAAAACTCTTCTGAAATATTTTTCCTTAGCCGTAAATAGACCAGTCCGTCTCAAATTTGATGAAGTAGTAAATACATGGATACTCATATGTTGGTGAGTCCTCCAGCGCCTGCAGATTACCGCAGTTTGCGTGTTCGTCGTTAGAGTTTAAAAATATGCACGCCATAGAAAACATAGACCGTTCATAATTTCTAGCTATAACATCATAAACTCGACGTTGGTATTCGACAGAAAATAATACAACAACATTATTAACACAGTAGAAATGCCACAATGCCACTGCCACATTCCAACAACAATGTCATGCGACTACAATTTTTTTTGCGGTGCATCTGCAATTACTCCGCTTAGCGTTGGCGGCTGCAGTTCTCAACATGTTGTTTGGCTTGGTTGATATTGTTGTCGCAAACCGGCACAGTACTGCACTTGGCACCACCGTTGCCATCGATTACCTAACAAACAACTTGCGGCTGACGCCATCCATCACGCAGTCAGGCAGACGCTAGTCTTAGAGTCCGTCAGCAAGTCTAGCAGTTAGTCAATTGCGCATACAAATACTCACGTCAGTCAGTTATGTGATGTCTTCGTAGCTTTGAGCTCATCTTGTCGATTGTAGCGTGTTGTACGGCTGTCGCTTCAGTCATTCCTTACAGCACATCACTTGGCAAGATTTGATTTTTCTTGCGTTTAACTTCAAATAAAGTAATTTCAGCGTTAAAAAAAGTTTTTTTTTTTCGAAAAAACAAAATTCCAATGAAATTTTTTGTACAACAATACATGTTGTGTTTTTGCGAAATTTTCAGTTCACACGTTTATACATTTAGGCACACACAGGCTAACTCATGCTTTGCTACTTCCCGTCGACTTTCCAATGCGATAATGTAAAAAGTTAAAATCCAATGTTTTAAATATTTAACTCGCACAGTGTGTCATTTACATACTATATACGCTTTTGAAAAAAGTTCCGAACGACGACTATTCTGATTCTAGTGAGTCTCTATCGACGTGTATGGCCCAGCGTTGACCTGATGAAGCACAATTTCTCKCTAATTGGATAAATCTGGCTGTTTYTGAACGATATTTACCTTCAGAGGGTCCAAATGCTGATACTACAGGCCCGAATTGAGAGTTTGGCTGTGGGATAACAGTTCAGAGTAGCTGATTTTCTGCGCATCCCACAAAATACATAGCAAAACTTACGTGACCGTCAATTCCGACAGGTCTCCGTTTGGCGCTAGATCGTTGCGCTTCGTTCGCCACCATTCTCGCTTGACGTTGTCGTAATGACCCACTTTTCGTCGCTTGAGATATTAACTGATTTTTCGGGACTCAGTAGTAATACCTTGATGGATATTTGGTCCATGAGGTTTGTTTTTGTTAACTTATGTGGTGTCCATTGTGCAGGCTTCGTTTTACGTAATTTTTAGCTGCAGGACAATTGAAATAGTGTTTGAAAGATGATCGGACGGGTCGATTTTCTCTATTCTATCGATATCTTCGACAATTGGCCTTTCAGAACGTGGTAGATTTTTGACATCAAAATTACCGGTTTATATATGTCATCAAAATTACCGGAAACGAATTGATGAAACTAAAATTGCACGAAATTGGCTGCTACAGTATCAGTGGCATAAGCTTTTCACATTTCAGCCGCCTGACGTGAGTTTTCGCTTTTAGCGTAGAAAAACTCTAAAATATAGCGAGTTTTTCCTTTGCATTCTGATTGCTATTCTAAATAAATGACTTAAGAGAAGCTTAATTTCCGGTTTAGAGAATTTTAAAACAATAATTATTCTTAACTGCAAATTTCCTACTGTGCTGTATTCCAGCTTCAGCGTCGTTAGCTCTGTGGAACTTCCATTTTTCTTTCTCCTTATTGCTACACTGCATCTTTCACACATTAATCACTTTTGTTTTCCATTCCGATGGCAGCAAGATCTGTTGCCCATGTCTTTACGGTTAACCGCCTAACCGACGCTCAGGTGAGCTTTGTTCGTTGAGGTTAAGTAGCAGCTCTAAAAAAGTTTAGCAGTCTTTGGCCGCGATTAGCTTAAGTTTGTAGCTTTCCTTTTTGCATTATGCCACTTTTTCGTATATTTTTAATGTTTTAATTTGGACTTTTAATAAGTAATTTTAGTTTCAATGAAAACTGGTTAATATTTCTTTGACAATGACCACTTTAAGCTAAATATTTATTTTATGCCTCTCGTCTGCCATGAAAACTTTTAAATGCTTATGTTAAAGTTGTCTCTTATTTTAACTTAGACATACTGTTATAAAAGTTAAAGTTTCCTTTCACTTGTTTCGGTGAAATTATGCAAATATTTTAAGCTTGACATCTAATTACTTGAAACTTGCGAATAATTTGATTTTTTTTATGTCTCTCTACAACGTAAGTATGTATATAAATTTTAACAAGTCGTTTATGCGGCATTCGTCATCAAAGTCCACAGGCGGAATTTTTAAAAATCTGGTGCATTATTATCGTTCAATTCCGGCCGTTTTATTCGGATGTTCTCATGCAAATATATCTTCTATTCACCTGCTGCCGGGATCGAATTCATGATGCACTAAACAACGAATAGCGAAAACACTATGAGCATCACCTTGTGTTTTGAGCGGCTTTGTCTTAGTTTTCCTGTTTTTGAATTGTTTTTTCCCCCCATTCCGATGATTGTTGACTTGTTTGCATATCAAACGCATAAATCCATGTTTCATCGGCAACTATACATGTTCTCCATGAATGTGGACGATCAAGCATGTATAAAGAGACCTGAAAAAAATTCAGCTTTATCGGGATGAGTCGAGCATGAACGCTTTTCATACCCAAAATATACACCAAAATAATTTGAATTGTCGAGCTCTTTTGACATCTACCTGACAATTTCAAGCACCATATCCTTCACTTTTTTAATATTTTCAGCAGCTGACGAGGTCGAAGGACGTCCAAAGCGAGAAATGTCTTCACGATCTCTCGACAGTATTTGAAGGCTTTGTATCACTCTTAGGCTTGTGTTTTATATTAAACTGAATATTCTCTTCGAACTTCTCGAGCGCTGATTGAACATACTCCTAGAGAATATATTTTAGAGGACAATTTCCAAGCATTGTACCAAAGTAAAGCTTGACGCAATGAAAATGAATACCCTGACATAATATGAGACAAACAAAGCCGTCGCGAGCTGTCGAAACCGTCTAAAAAACTTACCGATCCAAAAGGGGTTAAATCCCCAAAAAACGTTCCTTGGCCAGATCAGATCTGGGTCTTCTTATGTTTTTATTTTATGTTCAAATTAAATGAAGTTACATTATCGAATACATATAATAAAATTTGTAATTTTACTCATTTTTCAGATGTTTTTCTACGAAATGTACTCGATTTTTATTCAAAATAAATTATATTAAGAGAAGTTGTAACATGAAATATTGCTGGTCTTAAGAAAATTATTCAAATTTCACGCAAAAATTTGCAATTATGCAATTTGCCTATATTAAAGATAATCGTGGTAGTGAAGTGAAAAAGTTCGTTTAAAAAATCTAAAAAATATATTAGTGCATATACATACAACTATGACGATAGCAAAAAAATTGTGCATTTTGCTAAAGTAAATTTGCTGCAACAGGTGTACGTATGTATCCACGTAATTCCGTATGTAAGCGTTGGATATTGCCGGCATAAATAGAATATTCTCTGCCTCGAAATGGTGTATAAGAAAATTGCAAATTAAGATAGTAGTGTTCGTATTTAAAATCGCGTGTGAAATCGTGAAGCAAACAAACGCACGAAGCTGCTTGCAAACGTCAAACTGTGAAAACAAGCAAACGCTTAAAATGTTCGCAATTTTCTACTACAGTTAACGTAATGTAATTAAACAGATTAGAAAGAAATCTCATTAAAGCATATTAGAATAAAATAATTGCAAAACAATAGCAACAACAAACAGCTAAAATAACGTCAGCAATAGAACAACAACGAACTGCAACCGACAAAAACGCGTAGAAAAATGCCGACATTGGCGGCAAAAAATTCACAAGTCGCAATTGCTAACATGGCAACAGCAGCCACAACAACACCAACAACAGTAGTGGCAATAAATTCCGGTGGCAGCGAGCAGTGCGACGCTGATGTTAGTGCCGCAAGAGTAGCAACGCCGACAACCGACACACAAAACACCGGTGCCGCGTTGAACCATCATTATCATCATCCGCCGGCGCCGCATGGAGGCTCGCATGCCGTTGGCAATGCCTTGTCGCCGATGATAGCAACTGCAACAACAACAACTGCAGTCTCTGCGACCGGGGCAACTACCGGCACCGTTGCAGCCAGTTTAGCCACATTTAACGGAAATTCAAATTTAAATGTTGCCAACGGAAACATCGCCGGCAATAACAATCACAACAACAGCCACAACCACAATCACAGTCACAGTACGCACACAGGTGTTGTGGTAAGCAAAAAGCCCTTGACAAATATGCAAACATCCCGTGAGGATGTTGCATCACCACAACCACAAACACAGTTACCACCACCGCCGTTAACACAAATAGGCAATGCCATGCCGCCAACATCAGCGTCCATCATCCACCATCAGCAGTTGTCCGCCACTAGCAGTCAGAGCAATCACAATCATAACAACAATAATAATTGCAATATCAACGGTGGCAATGGCAGCAATAATAATAATAATAATAGCAATGGTAACGGTAACGGCAGCACAAACATCAGCAGCATTCTCAAAGGAAGTAAAGGTAAGTCCAATTCTATTTGAAAGCTGATAATTGTGAATTCACTAAAATGCATATGTGTGTATCTAAAATTGCAAAACGCAATTTCAAATTGAAAATCAAATTTCAAGCTCTCTATCTACTCTATTATTCTCATATGTAGTTTTTGATACCCCGGTCCATATAACTTTCATGAAAGACTGACATTTTCATGTTCAACACGTCTATGCAGAGAAATACATGCAAACAGCTACATATTTATATATAAATACATATGTACATATTTATGTGAAATGAATGGCTCATTAGCGTTTAGACCAGTTACTAGTAACCTTGTTTTGAAATTGTTGATCGGCTGTGGGAAGTTGCTTATTTACATTTGTAATTAAACCGTATTACTATATTGCCATACATACAAATACATACATATACTTATATACACATGTCATTAGTTTTAGTCATTTCCTAAAACTATCAATTTCAAAATTTTTGAAAGCAACCACTTTGCTTTAAATTACAATTTGAAATAAAACCTAATCAATGAGCAATATATTAGTTGGATTTGTGCATACAGGGTTTGTCCGGAAAGTAATAGGACTGAGTCGATTTAAAAAAATTTATTGAATTAATCGTTACAATTCTTTAAAAACTTCCAAAATAGGCTCCTTCTGCRTCGATGCAGCGCTGCCAGCGYGACTTCCAAGCATTGAAGGCGTCACGGAAGGCATTCTCCAGAATAGMYTTGAGAGCCGAGGWGCATTCAGCTTGGATGCCTTCTTTCGTCTCAAAATGCTTGCCTTTCATCGGCCTTTTCAGGCAAGGAAACAAAAAAAGTCCGGGGAGTACACATCTGGACTGTAGGTTGGCTGCGGAAGCGTTGTGTTACCGGCCTTGGTTAGGTAGCTGTTCACAAGAAAAACGATTGTCGATGTTCAAGTGTTCCGTCACAATGTCATGAACCACAGATTTTGATAAATTTAACATCTGGAAAATTAAACGAATATCGATGGTCTGAACTCAAAACTTTGCGCACACAAGTCACATTGTCGGTGCTTGTCGAAGTCGAAGGTTTCCCAGTACGGAAATACACCAATTGTGGTTAAAGAGACATCAAAAAGCTCGTTCGTTAGCTAGGAACGCCCTATACCGAATCCAGTCGGTGCGCGCACGCTCTGAAATACAGTCGCGGCGGAAGAAAATCAGTCCTATTACTTTCCGGACACACCYTGYATTAGATTTATATACGCATAATATATTGTAGTTGTTTTTGAAAATGTATTTTATTTCGGAAAAAAATGCCAGCCAGAGCAATTATTATTTTAACTTTAACAGAGTTTGATCTTTGTTCGTCAAGAGAGGAATTTAATTTTCAATTGCCTACTCAGTCCACAATAGCACTTGTTTGCTCACCAATGATGCCTTTTGATATTACGAGGACATCAAGCAATCGCTTAGTATTATGTACCACCTCTGAAACATTCCGATCTGTCTAAAAAAGAAGACTTTATACGAATCTTGTCGCGTTTTTCATTTTAATTATCCTTCTCGGGTGATGTGTTCGAAACCTAACATACAATATTAAAATATATAGTATATTAGAAGCTCCAATGTCCAACATGTATGCTTCATAAAATAATTCATTCAGCGGAAATACTACATTTACCGTAATACCTACCACAGCTACCATGGCATATTCTACTACAGTCATTCAATGCCGTCTTAGTTACTATGTCATTCCCTTCGTTCACAATTCTTCGTTTTGCACTTCAAATGAGTACAATTCAATATAAAAAGCGCTACATTCTTATTGTCCATTATAAACAATAGTCACGACGCTTTGTTTACACTCTCTGTCCCTTGTAATGCGTGGTTTTAACTACATAAAAATAAATTCGTATTCTATTTTGTATTATACAATGTGTAGGCTGACGCCTTAAACGGCGCGTGTAGCCAACTAAAAAGTCTAGCGGCGATTCGTAAATTCGATGTCGGCTTACTATCCGTATAAAGTTATGTGGGACCAATGTTTTTCATTTACCTATTACTCATGCTTTTGCTCTCCAAGTTACAAGCCGGGTGCGCTGAGAAGAAAAAAATTAAATGAAAAGAAAGGTAACACGTTTTTCGGACGCTAGGCCATTGAACCCTTTCATTTTCGTTGCTGCCCTCAAAATCGTTTTCTCTTATTTTCGTTTTCCTTATGTAATATCTCTTACCCTGACCTCTCAACGCATTGTTCATATGTACAGGTATGTTTGTTACATAATGACTATGACTATTGACCATTGTGTTGTTATGTACCTGACTCGACTGTTAATTCTGTATGTAGGTGTACAAACTCATCAAATTCTCTAACAATGCCTGGACTTCGCAATAATCGATAGAACACTAGATCCAAAATGAAAAAAAAAGAAAGATTCGAATGGACGTGTTCTTAAAAAAGCATAGTAGTTCCGAAAAATGTCACTCTGGGCTTATTTTGTGTATCGGTTTTGATAAAACTAACTGGGTAGAGATCTTATGTGTACAAGACTTATTTATGAAACTTTTGTGAAATGCTTGAAACAATGTATGCTCTGTCGAGACATATTCGTTCATAGGCCCAGGTTAGACATTACATTTAATACAAAAATGTCCAAATGAACTCTGAAGTCTACACGTGGTTGTTATTATAGTAAGTCCTTCGTATATTCTATAGTTCATGTTGCAAGCAATCAGATGTATTACAGACGTTTCACTTGTTTTGTTGTGAATCAAGGTGGTGTTAAAAGTTATCTGCTACATATCATATTGTTGTTGTCTTGGGCAAATTTGATTGCTGTGGTTGGCTGCATGCGAATAATTGGCGGGACATGCGACTTGCATGATAGAGTCACAGTCGCCATACGACATGAAATACATACATATGTATTTCTATACATGAGTAATTTTTATAAATGACAATGGAAACGCCAACGAAGACGCGGAAGTTTTAAATACGGCTGGCTGGTGTGAATGTCATAAGAAGAGAATTATAGCAGTGAGGTTCATTAGGACATGCATGCAACTTCAACGCTTGACGTACAAAAATTCCATAGCTATGCACTGTGGCGGTGATATTTTATGTGGGCGTGTCCAGGCCGTTGAAACTTTACAAAGAACGACATAAATGTACAAAGATAGCACTAAAATGGACGCATAAATGCAACAAGAACGCTTTGATAATGAGAAACTCTGACCGAAACTTGCGAATAAAAACGCCAGAGCGGAGTCTTACAATTTTCAAGCATCGAAAATTATATCTGTGAGTTATAATTGTCGGCTGTCACCGCTAAAGCTTTGCTGGTACCTACGTTCCGGCTGCTTGGACTCTTGGATGTATTTATTGTTTTACAAAAAATATTCTATTTATTTACTTCATTCAGTTTTTTTTTTTTAACTTCAAAATCATGTGAGTACAGAAATTGTGCTGAAACTTATGAAGTCTATCTCCTTCTTCTTACAAGTAGTTCTTTCTTTCCATTTAGTGCTATTCCTCGAGCAAAGAGCGGCCTATTTTCAATTTTTTTCTATGACAAATAAAGTAACAGGTCAATTGAAAAGTCCATTGCCTACCATAATAAAACTTTTTTTTTGGCAAAATTCGGTATTCTTCGGTATTGCGACCCTCGAACTTTTCCATACCATTTTTGTAGCACGACTTATG